AGGCACAGGCCCTGTTCACCGTGTGGGTCTCACTGCCCCCACGTGTGAGGCACAGGCCCTGTTCACCGTGTGGGTCTCACTGCCCCCACGTGTGATTACCAGGCCCTGTTCACCGTGTGAGTCTCACTGCCCCCATGTGTGATGCACAGGCCCTGTTCACCGCATGCAGACTGAAGGTGTTTGACGTGTTGAAAGGTGAAGTGCCCCAGAAGGCTGAGGACATTGCCAGCATAGTGGACATCTCTGTGTGTGGAGCAAAACGACTGCTGGACGTCTGTGCCACCCTGGGGCTCCTGGAGAGGTCCGAGCGAGGTAATCGGTGTCTCTGCATCTCTGTGGGTGGGAGAAGTCACCAAGTTAAGGTGGTATGATACATAGGTAGGTGTGGGAGGTGATGGCCAGACTGTCTGTCTGTCGGTAATGTTTCTTTCCCAAAAAGCTAAGAGGAAGAGCAAGGAGAAAAAGAGAGAACCACCTTCCCACAGGCTGTGGTCTCAAAGGGGTTGTATCAGTCAGGGTTCTCCAGAGAAACAAGACCCGTGGAGTCCACACCCCATACACACACGCTGACTCATTTATTATCCATTAGGACACACAAACGTACACATTTATCCGTTTCTTTATTTTGATAGCCATATACGGGGTGGATGTATAGATGTCTTCAGAGATGTTAAATGCATCAATTGGTACACATAAACGGATGATAGAGATGAGAGGTGATGGACAGATAGATGAGAAAAGAGTCTCAGTGTCAGCACAGCTGACATTTCGGGCACAAGGAACTCTGGGGTGGGCATCCTCTGCATTGTAGGGTGTTGGACAGTGTCCCTGGGCCTTACCATTAGGTGCCAGCAGCACCTGTCACCCAATCATGGCAACCAACAGTGTCTCTAGAAATTGCCAAGTGTTCCGGGGGCAAAATTGCCAGTTAAGAACCATGGGCTTTGATAGATAATTGACTGAGTGATGGATAGATAGATCAATAGATAGAGCTGATGGATGGATGGATGGATGGATG